CTGGAGAGACTCTGCATGTTATACTGCCATCTGCTGGAGAGACTCTGCATGTTATACTGCCATCTGCTGGAGAGACTCTGCAAGTTATACTGCCATCTGCTGGAGAGACTCTGCAAGTTATACTGCCATCTGCTGGCGACTGCATGTTATACTGCCATCTGCTGGAGACGCTGCATGTTATACTATCATCTCCTGGAGAAACTTTGCATAATATACTACCATCTGCTGGAGAGACTCTGCATAATATACTGCCATCTGCTGGAGACCCTGCATGTTATACTGCCATCTGCTGGAGACCCTGCATGTTATACTGCCATCTGCTGGAGAGACTGTGCATAATATACTGCCATCTGCTGGAGAGACTCTGCATATTATACTGCCATCTGCTGGAGAGACTGTGCATAATATACTGCCATCTGCTGGAGAGACTCTGCATGTTATACTGCCATCTGCTGGAGAGACTCTGCATGTTATACTGCCATCTGCTGGAGAGACTGTGCATAATATACTGCCATCTGCTGGAGAGACTCTGCATGTTATACTGCCATCTGCTGGAGAGACTGTGCATAATATACTGCCATCTGCTGGAGACTGTGCATAATATACATACTGCCACATGCTGGAGAGACTGTGCATAATATACTGCCACCTGCTGGAGAGACTGTGCATAATATACTGCCATCTGCTGGAGAGACTCTGCATGTTATACTGCCATCTGCTGGAGAGACTGTGCATAATATACTGCCATCTGCTGGAGAGACTCTGCATAATATACTGCCATCTGCTGGAGAGACTCTGCATGTTATACTGCCATCTGCTGGCGGCTCTGCATGTTATACTGCCATCTGCTGGAGAGACTGTGCATAATATACTGCCATCTGCTGGCGGCTCTGCATGTTATACTGCCATCTGCTGGAGAGATTGTGCATAATATACTGCCATCTGCTGGAGAGTGTGCATAATATACTGCCATCTGCTGGAAAGACTCTGCATGTTATACTGCCATCTGCTGGAGAGACTGCATAATATACTGCCATCTGCTGGAGAGACTCTGCATAATATACTGCCATCTGCTGGAGAGACTGCATAATATACTGCCATCTGCTGGAGAGACTCTGCATGTTATACTGCCATCTGCTGGAGACCCTGCATGTTATACTGCCATCTGCTGGAGAGATTGTGCATAATATACTGCCATCTGCTGGAGAGACTGTGTATGTTATACTACCATCTGCTGGAGACCCTGCATGTTATACTGCCATGTGCTGGAGAGACTCTGCATAATATACTGCCATCTGCTGGCGGCTCTGCATGTTATACTGCCATCTGCTGGAGAGATTGTGCATAATATACTGCCATCTGCTGGAGAGACTCTGCATGTTATACTGCCATCTGCTGGAGAGACTCTGCATGTTATACTGCCATCTGCTGGAGAGACTCTGCATGTTATACTGCCATCTGCTGGAGAGACTGTGCATAATATACTGCCATCTGCTGGAGAGACTATGCATGTTATACTGCCATCTGCTGGAGATGAGGTTGTATTATTACATCCAGTGGTCACTAATTATACTGTCAGAGTTTGATGGGATTTAGTTTAATTTCTACATCTGTTAAATCCTGTTTAAGAGATTCATTTCCAATTCTGAAGTGCATTATTACGGGTAAATGCATTGTTCTGTGGCTCGTGGAGTGTCTCATATGAATAGCTTTTGTTTTGAACATATATCTAATTAATAAAATCCATGTTTTTGTATCTTTGTTTTCTTTCTATTTCAATTTTATTATAGCCCTTTGATTTTCCTCTTATGTGCAAACGTATAAATTGATCTTCAAGTCTTCCTTTTAATTGTTCATCTCATATCATGTTCTTAAAGGGCCACTATAGTACCAGTTAAACATACTTGTTGTCCTGGCACTATAGTGCCCTGAGGATGCCCCCACCCTCAGGGTCTCCATACCGCCGGGCTCTAGGCTGAGGAAGGGGTTAAACTTACCTCTTTCTCCAGCGCCGGGCGGGGAGCTCTCCTCCTCCTCTCCGCCTCCTTGGCTGAAGTGCGGAAGCGCCTCAATGAGACAGCCACTAGTGGCTGGATTAAACCATTTATAAACATAGTTTCTCTGAAACTGCTATGTTTATAGAAAAAAGGGTTAACCCTAGCTGGACCAGGCACCCAGACCACCTCATTAAGCTGAAGTGGTCTGGGTGCCTATAGTGGCCCTTTAATAAAAAATAAATATTGGTATTGTTTGGACGTTTTTATTGTAACGCCTCTTTAATAAAATGAACATTACTTCATCTGTTGTCCTCTCTGTGCTGCCAGGATGGAGATAGAATTAAATACAGCGGATTTATACATGGAATTATATTTTGCATTACCATTACATTTATTAAATATGAGGGTACATAAACATATTAAGAACTGATAGTTCCTTTTTAAAACAACTCGACCAGACCTAGACATCTCAGGAAAAGAGAGGAATGCCTATATTCTGAAACTTATATCAATTTATCCTCATATTTACCAACATTTCAAACGGCCAAAGAAAGACCGGCCTCCAGAGGAAGCGGGATATCCTATAAACACATTGGGGGGTTGGGGGTGAGAGGCATGGATTATTTCATTTCTGAGCTTGCATTAAGAGTAGTAAACACGTTCTAACATGTTTAACTAAAGTGAGAATTCAAAGTTAATTTCAAATGTAAGCCCAGAGTAGTATTTTTTTTATAAATTCAAATATTTTGGCAAAAAAATCTGGGGCATTCCAGGACAAAAATCCAAAATTTTTTCAGGTTAACAAACGCGTATGTGTAGCAAATATTAACCCCTTTGGATAGTTCTGAATGTTATAAACTGGTTTCAAATGTGAGGTGTCAGTATCCATTTAAAATGAAATTATTATTATTAAAACATTGCCAACGATTCATGTATAGCTCCTATTCAGCCTCCACTCGGTGCAGACAGCATAGAGTTAATTGAAACAAATTGCACAGTGAGCATCAGTAATAGGGTGTCACCCACCTGCTGTGTTAACGGAACACTCCTCAAAAGTGGTTATGGTGCCAGCAGTGTCCTGCTGCCCTCAAATATATTGTGAACATTTATATAGTGCCAACATATTCTGAAGAGCTTTATAATGCTAGAATAAGGATATCTGACAAGTAATTAACAGAGATGAGAGGTAAAGAAGGCCCTGCTATAACGAACATACTATCGAGTAGTCAAACCTCTTCTGTCCTGGTGTTCACCAATGTCTGGTGGAGCCTGGTGGACCACAGTAAGAAGTCGAACACATAAATAAGTTAAACTACTACATGAGGGGTTACTAGGCCACCCAGCTCTATAACCACAGAAATGCGACCAATGGTTTTTGGGGTTAAAAGAACCATATCTGTAGATCTAGGGACCACGTTTATCTAATTTTATTAATTTTTTTTCTTTTGTAATTATTGGTTTTACCAGCAAAAACATATTGCAGATTTCTGTACGTCTATCTGAAAAAAAAATGTTTATTTTATTAAATGTGTCTACTACTAGAAGATCTTTGTAATGGCGGTCAATATCGGGACCCTTATGAATTGCTTATTTTACGGCACATACAGGTTATACTATTTAGTAAAAATCACCAGAGTACCCTTAAAAACCCACAGCATATGAGGGAAATAAATCACGTTTCCACCCATCTAGACCCCTAGCTGCTCTCCCTCCTATCCAGACCCCCAGCTGTTCTCCCTCCATCTCTCCTATCCAGACCCCCAGCTGCACTCCCTCCCTCTCTCCTATCCAGACCCCCAGCTGCTCTCCCTCCCTCCCTCCTATCCAGACCCCCAGCTGCTCTCCCTCTCTCTCTGCTATTCAGACCCCCAGCTGCTCTCCCTCCCTCTCTCCTATCCAGACCCCCAGCTGCTCTCCGTTCTCCCTCCCTCCCTCCTATCCAGACCCCCAGCTGTTCTCCCTCCCTCCCTCCTATCCAGACCCCCAGCTGCTCTCCCTCTCTCTCTGCTATTCAGACCCCCAGCTGCTCTCCCTCCCTCTCTCCTATCCAGACCCCCAGCTGTTCTCCCTCCCTCTCTCCTATCCAGACCCCCAGCTGCTCTCCCTCCCCCCCCCTGGTCACCATAGTGGTATGTTCCACTTTCATGCTCTCAGTGCACTGTCCCCCCCCATTCCCTGGCAGTGGTATAATCCTCTCCTGGCAGCAGACGGCTCCCCCTCCCTGTGATAGTGGTATATCCGCACCGGAAGTGACGCCTCCTTCCTCCCCGGGGTCACTTGGTTCGGCCCAGTTTCCGGCGTGTCCTTGAGCTGTGTCCCTGCCATGTTCTCCCGCTGCCTGGCCCGGGCCCTGCGCTGCCCTGTGAGCGCCCTCCGGCGGGTGAGAGCTCTGCCCCCCAATACCAACACTGTGCCCCCCCCCCCCCG